GTACGTACCTCTTGATAGTGAAGGCGTTGTTCTTTTTTCAAACGTGCAAGAAAACCATTGCAATACCGTACATASAGACTTGTGTACGAAGTACGGTACGTACCCWATCAATTATTACTGTTGTGTTCCAGAGAAGGCAGGATAATGAYAATAGTACTATCATATGGTGTTATGTAGTGAGTCATCGAATGACCATTAAACCCCATTTTCTAAAATCTATCAACGAATTACTGTAGTCACGGACTACAAGAAATATTTTCCGTTCGTTGTCTGTTGYATATACCTACACGAAACCCGACTTCTCGCAAGAAACAATACTAACATAATTGGCGGCTTAATTGTAAATCATGTKAGGTCCAACAATTATCCCGTCGTTAAATCCTTTTTAAGCYAAATATGCAGAAGCACAAAATTTGACAGAGACCATGGTAGAGAAACAAATATGATTCGTGTTTAGGAAGACTAGGAAGTTTCGTGACCGAAAGCCGAGGCTTGCAATGAAGCACTCGAGCGGCGCAGGAACGATGCCTGAGTCTTATGGTACGAAAATCGATCCAACACTTAAAGACCAAGCGCCTTMCCATGCGGTTTTTCGAACTTTTCGATGTCCTAGCAGACAAATTAGTTACGGACTGAACTACCGTTACATGCAACAATCTGGATYAATAGTCTTTCTCATTGATGGCCTCCATCGAAGCATCATTTAACTGTAGAAAGCGGACCGTGGACTAATTTATTTAGCGGTTGCTCTCTCCTAGAGAACCCCCTAAGGTGAGTCCCTCTCTGAGATTTATGCAATATGTCTATGGAAATGCTCTCGCGTCATCTGGCTAGTACCCCATCGTAGTATTGTCATCATGGCGACTGCCTTMTCTCTCTTAGATGTCACAGATATTGCGGGCGCGGAGCGATAGATTTAAGAAGATACAATTCATTGCATCGACGAATAAATCCTCTACGATATGGCCAACAAATGTCTTTCGAATAAACAAATAGACATGCCCTTGATGGCAASGAACCGCAACCCCTTGCTTGGGCACATCACGGCCGGTGCCGCTTGTCGAGACAACCATCTAACCGAGTTCTTTTTTATTATACAAATCCCACCTGTATCATGACCCTCCRCCTTCCATCATTAGGCGTTGTAGCCCAGAAAAAAGTATCAAGACAAAGTATCGCGACTGACACACCCGAAAATTGTCGGGACGAGACTAAACCCAACCGAGCCACGCACAGAAACAAACAATACCTTCCCACATACTACGTTCGAGATCTCCTTCTCGCATAAAATCCAAAAGCGTCCCGCCGGCACACAAACCCTTATGAAAGTCGCGTTGTAAACCCACTCACTCGCATACAACACCCGACGTCGCTGCCCGCATTGCTGTTTATCGTCCACTTTTGGAAYAACTTGTACAAATATCCACACGTWGTTCCAAGAAAATTCAAATCCCAATTCGARGTACTGTCAGGATGGAAGCCAACGGACTGACTAGATGCAGTTTGCCATACTCTTTCGAGAGTCCTGTAGTGTGTGACGAAATGATTACCGACGACGGGGCATCGGCATCGACTCCTCCTAGCCGGGATCCTGCTGCAATGACCACCGACGCGATGCCACCGGCTCCGATAAGTCCGTGCGGCAGCCCCAAAAGATATTCACCGTCCTTTGTCAGCTCCCTCAACGACCAGGTGGCGAGGTATTGTTCCAACGAGTGTGTGCAAAGACGCTGCGGCACGGCCGCCATGCGCACAGTCTGCAACAACGTTGCCGTGGCACAGACCAGGGTTCGGCAGATCGAAGACCACTTGGTGGCAGGCCAGCAACAAGGCCATGGATCGCCACCCTCTCTTCGAGATCAACTCTTCGCGGAGAAAATTCGATTGATCGACGCATTGGTCGTGATGGGGTGGGAACATTACCGATGCTTCCTAGAAGAATCGGAATGCTTTGAAAAAGCCGAGGCGGCGGTGAGACACATTTACGAGGAAGCCCTGGAGCTTTCCGTCGAGCTCTTTTGCTCGGCGCCACCCGCAACTGGCACCAGCATCGCTAACAACGGCAGGCTGATGATGCTTCTTCTCACCCTTGACTTTGACGAGTACTGCGAAAGTCTGCTGGGGTATCAGTTGGCCCGCGAGTCCACTTCGGCGTCACTGACCGCCGATTCGAACGGCGCGGATGCTGCCGCCGGGGTGAGAGGCGCCGACGGGCGACTGGCAGAGATCCTCAAGCCTGCCGCACAAGGGAACGCCTACCTCCAGCAGGTGCACGAATTGTGGAAGACCGGCGCCTTCGAGCGATTCGATGTTGCGGCAAGCCATGAGGAAGAAGAACACCTGGCAAAAATCCACGCGGCGGGCCTGTGTCTGGTCCTCTTTCGAAAACTGGAGTACAAACAGACCGACCTCAAGGCAACCGAACGCCAGTTCCGGTATCTGTTTGATGAATATCTTCCGAGACAACTCGCACAGCCATCGATGAACAATATTATCGCGACAAAGCACGCTCGCATTCTCTTCCAAGACGGGACTCCTACCGTGTACTGGTCGCTCTTGGCCGATTCGTACCGGAAAGAATGGGCCGAACACCTCGAGGGATATGGGAGCGGAGCTGCTGAGGAATTGTTCGACATGGATATGGACGAGGACGAGGATGACGAGGACGATGGATTATAAACAAAATTTGCTTTGTTTTCAGATGGAAGAAGCAAAAGATCATTGTATCGAATGGTCTGCGCGATGACGTCAAATACTTCATTACAATAAATGGTAGCAGAAAGGGTTTTCTATACCATGACTGGAGAAAGGAGCACCTTGAAACTGGGGGTAGCGGCTCAAAAACGTGAGCTGATTCACCGTTTTCAAAGTAAACGGACTAGGATGCTACTTAATGGGAAATAAGTGCAAATCAGCTATGCATGGCTGTTCAAATTAGAATTGTAAGATTAATTTAAAATTATGTTTCAAGTTTTACAAAGCAGTGTCGAAGAATCGTCGAATCGTAGCATAGCATCCGAAGAGAAGTTTGAACGTCATGACTTTCATACGAAGCCTTCAATCTCTAATACTTGCTGTTAGGAAGAACCAAGTACATTAACGAAGAAAACGCCAATGCAAGAGATGCAATGACAGAAGTGTTCATCTTAACGACGATGGCAGTTTACAAATGTCAGCTCATCTAGAACAACCATAAAAGAAAATACTACTTACGGACATTGTCTACGAAACTTCGGTACTTCGAAGTCTTTTCTAATCATAATTTTTTCAAAAAATATTTTTTCATTAAAAGTCGACAAAAATTTCATTTCGGGTCTTGCCGTCGCCCGTTTGAATGAACGTCACTGTTTCTGTCGGAGATGGATGACGGTTGATGGTTGAAGGCGATGTTAGGTATGAAAGATGGAACCGATCATCGTGCTTTGCATCTAACGAAAGAACCATAGGACGTCGACACCTATCCGAACACAAACCCCTAGAAAAACAAAGTCATTCGGAATAATGGTCAGCAGCAGAATAGAGCGCCTTTTTCTTGTTGCGGCGGCACTTGCGGCTCCGACCGCCATTGAAGCCCTCGCGGGCGCCCCACAGAAGGAATTCACGGGTGCCGGTATCGGTCGCCTGAATATGGACGAATTGGCCGGAAAGGCGGGAACATGGAACTGCCATTACGATATGATCTTGGTAGAACGCCTCCAGAAACAAAAGGGTCCGCAGGATGTCGAAGACGACGGACTCTTCGTTCCTGAATCGGATATGCCTCGTTTCCATCTTTGCAGAGTTTTGAGCAAAGGAAATGGACGAGAAGAAGAGAACGGCATGGTGGCACCCGACATCAACGGTCTGCAGGTCGGTGACTTGGTGGTTGCCAAGAACCCCTGGGGAATTGGTCCCAAGGACGAAGAGTTGTCCGATGGTACAAAATTGAGCTTTATGAGGGAGATCGATATCGCCGCCAAGGTCACGGGTGAACTAAATTAATAGCGAAGTGATAACAACTGCCGAAGTTTTTGACTGGAACAAAAATGCTTGGAATTTGCTTTTTCCGCCACAGGCATGATGTTCTCAAACAAAACTGCACAAGGAATCAACGGTCAAGCAGAGAATTTGACTCATTGACTTCGGGAACGTGCCTCGGACACTCTATTTGAGGGTCCTCGCGTCCAAGGTATTCGTTAAGTAAAGGAATACGACGACCTTTTATGTCCTACGTAGGCAATAGAAATGTTATAAGGAGACAACTCTATTTTTTTAACTCGTCAGATCACTCTGTGTCACACAACAATTGTTGTATCGGCAGATGGAAACTAATGAATAAAGAGGGATAGATATTTACAGTATTTGATATCGAAAAACTATCGTTAAGCAGTGACAACCGTTCATGAAAGGCATTTAATTGTCTGGTTCATTGGTTAGTTTCACTCGTTAGCATCCCCGGCCCAATTCTTCACATAGAGCATTGCGTCGTTCTTCCTTTGACATTTGAAGATTCTTTTGCTTCTCCCTTTCCTTGGCCAAACGATCCCTGAAGTCCGTTGGGTTGGAGTTTTTCTTCTGCAATTCGGCCTTTCTTCTCAATCGTTCGGCTGCGGCGTCCGCCTATGGTTTTAGTCGGTCAAATCAGAGGGAAATTAAGCAAGGTGTGAGCAGGTTTCGAACAAATATCAAACAAAGAAGAATGTCACCAGATTGGGATAGAGATATCGTTGTGGAAAAACAAAACGGAACTCAGCAAACCTGATGTGGGCATTCCGCCTTCTCAGGCGGCCCCAGTACTATATCCCTTCTTGCGCAGAGGCAAGAGCAAAGAAGACGAAGTGATTAAAGCCCCGCTCTCCTTTGCGATGTCGAGTCACGGGAATAAATAATCGATCGATGGACAGATGGARAGAAGGATCAAACGACCGSAGCAKACACAACGGCAAAAAKACATCCGACGYGGCTTCCCGGTGAAATATTTCCTGGAATTGGGTTTCTTTTTCGTTCTACTTACTTCTGCTTTTCGCTGCTCTTCTTCGGAGGGCATTGCCAGGTCATCCGCAAGATCTTCCGCCCCCGCAATGAGTGGGAAGGAGGTCACCGCTATTGTTGAGAAGGCGGCGTTCAAAAAGTCACGGCGGTCGGCTTGAAGAGCAGAGGAACAACCGACCTTCCGCGTTGTGGTTGTGAACGCCTCGGCCTGCAGCACTGCAGCACAAACGAGCAAAACAAAGGCAAACGTGGTGGTGGATGGCAACATTGTTATGATTTTGTTATTTATTCTCAACACAGAATGACCAGATACAATAATGATAGTCGAATCCAATTATGATTAGAGAGTTGTCAACGCAACTAAATTCGTGTCATGATTGTGTTGGTACGAGTACGAGTACTACCTTGACATGATTTTGGATCCGCTTTGCTTGTTTTTCTGTAGCATCATGGTATGAACATCGTACTTAAAAATGTTTCTAGTACGAATATCTTGCGCGGTTGGTGACCCCTTTTCAGGCTTTTTGTGTGGCGTCGGGAATGACGCACGCAGAAGCTCGCCAGGGATCAGAGAGATTATCGAATGCGCGCATGGAAAGAGTCAAATGCGCTCGAAAGATTCATTGGAGATGTGCGTTGATTCTTCATTCGATCTTTAAGTGCGTCTTTTACCCCCATTTCAACCTTGTTGACWAGGACCCCTTTTCGGTTTTGTGAGTGCGTTCGTACTCGTACTATTGGGATCCAAGAAATCGTAGCTACATAACGAGCACGACTAAGCGCGAACTGTAAGTACGTACCAGTACCGTAGGAGAGTACGTACTCGTAACAGTATCGGCCGAGAACCGCATCGAAAATTTCTTTGTGATAAGGGTTCGAGCTATGGGATGGTGATTGATATCAATAATTGATACTCAAGGCTACGGAAAGACTTCTAAACGTGGAGCACCTGTTCGTCGAAATCACTCTATGCTGTATTGGTATGGATGAAAGAAAGGGATGGGAGACACGGTAGCGTCTTCGGGAAGAACCATTGCCACAGTGTACTTCTACTAACGTAGTGACACTAGAAGTTGACGCATGCACAACCATGTAATTATAGTCCATCAATCTTATTTCTCTAATAGAGTAAGCTTATATACTACAKTGAATCTTATTGTTTTATGGCCATAGGWGGAGTAACCAGAGCTGTGTGCATAATCTTTTGTGCGGGGGTACGCCGATGGCCTCTAATGTGACAACTTATCAGGGAACGACGATGGTGCTCCTATTGTTTCAAGATCACATTCGCTGCCACCCGGGACCGATTGCAGAGGGATGGATTCTCTCTCAGGATGCAAAAGAGTGCGATGACATCGTCCTTCACCTTGGTCATCACGTCGATCCAATCCGAAGCAGCGTTGGCATTGCCGTTAGTTTCCTGCTCCCGCAACAACCGGAAAAGGCCTGCCTCCCTCAGCATGAATTCGATGTCCAGGCCACGGTTTCGAAAGTGGCGGTCGACTCCCTCGCGATCACGCAGCGAAAACGAGACGTCCTCGCGGGCGTGCTGAACAAAGAGCCTCGATCGCGCTCSAAGTGGTTCGTCGCTGTAGCCACTGTGTATAGYATCCGACTCCGATCCTGGCCTGCGGCGGGGTTGGTTCCGGTGGTTGTAGACCAGGGACGATGCCCTGATATGAATGTCCGGATCGTGGCGGACCAGTCGAAACAGGGCGTTCCAGCCCGATTGGCCGACCGTTTGATGAAAGGCGCACCCGGAGAACTCAAGATGCGCCAGGTGCCCATTGTTCTCCATAAGGGCCTCACACATGGCGGCGACGGCACCGTTCTGGACCGACAGGCCCGAGAGTATTAGCCTGGACAGCGACTGGAACCCCGCAAGTATCCTCAGCGTCGTGGTAGAGAGGTCGGGAACGGTTCGCCGCAGGCGGATCCGGCTCAGAATCGATTTTGAGATCTTAATCGTCCGGAGGTTCCCAGAAACTGCGAGTGCCTGAAGCAACTCGTCAAAAGGGGATAATTCCTCGTCATCGCCGCCGCCGTCGTCGTCGCCACTGGGGGAGCTTGTAGCGTCCGTCCTCCAATAGGGTTCGCAGCGATCCCTGGTTTGGTCCTCGATGGTCAGCTCGATCGCCTCTAATGGAATCGACAGTCGCGGTGTGTCTTCCTCTGCATCATACCTGTCTCCACGGTGTGTGGTCCGCGTTCGACCCAGGAGCACCCGCCTAAAACCGTGCAATTCGGAAGACGAATGAACGACGACGTCGTGGACCGTCAATCGCCTGAGGCCCTTTGCAGCCTCAAGAATGGTCAGCAGGTGTGATACCTTCCAGCGGTTTCCTCCTGTCAGGGATATCGATTCAAGGCGCGGAAGGCACACGCACGCTTCAAAGAAACGTCGTTCCTGTAGCTTGTATGCCACGATGCTGTTGATGGTTGCGGGCCTCGTGAAGTTGTTGTCGTTGTTGTTGTTACTGCCATCGCTATTGTTTTTGTTGTCGATGTCGATGTCAACTTCGCCGGATCCGTCGAACTCGTGCTCGTCCTCCAAAAGACGAGGATGAGATGAGTGCGCTGGTTTCGGATATTTCCAATCGTAGCGACAGGATATGGATCGGATTGTGTGGTTTGTCTGCAATGCCTCTGTAAGCCTAGGAATGGTATTCCGTGTGATTTCTAGTCGTCGGAGCGACGGCGACCATGGAAGAGCACGGCGCTCCAGAGGATCGCAGGTTATACTTCTGACCTGGTTCCAACCAACATCTACTGTTACTCCTGCTTGCCAGGGSGTCTTTCTGAGCGCCAGAGTGGTCAGTTTGGGATCGTTGGCTCGAATCCTCCGGACCAAACCGTCCGCCCATTCCGCTTCCCCTCCTTCTTCGCAGTCGTCCTTGCCTTCGAACAAAGTGTAGTCGTTGCTGTTGCTTCTGCTGCTTCTGTTGTTGTTCTCGTATWTAAAATAATTGTCGTCGTCATCGACACCGTATCTTTTCTGCCCACGAATTGACGTCGYAACATCTCGAAGCAACTGTTCAATGGATTCTTTGGTCGGATAATGATGTACACCGTTGTGAGCATTCGGTGTCGGCGGGGAGAAAGCCACGAAGCCTATGCCATTGGACACTGTATCGGCAACGCTATTGCGCGTTTGCGATGCCCCGTCGGGTTCGCTTTTGTGGAGAATGGTCTCCATTCTTGCGGTTCGCTGGCGTGTTGTCTGTTGCCGACCAATCTTCTCCAATTATATTACAGTATCAAGTACAAATATAATTGACTTTCGAGCGTGTTTTGTTCGTAAGGAGTAGCTGGGAGTTAAAGTACAGTATCGTTATTCGAATACTGTAATACGAACGAGTAACGCATCAACATCTTATTTTTTGGCATACAGAAAGAAGAATCATAACGTCCAGGACTCACATCACTACTCGTAAACAAATAAACAAATATCCGCACGAACCGAGTTGTGATGGAAAGAATCATGAGAGAACTCGTACTTTTACACGTACAATCGTACGGTAGCTGTCAATAGTTCGAAATGAACCTCGTACAACCTCTGAGCAAAGATTTTTTCGTGTCCCGACCGAAGGCGAGTAGTACAAAGCGAGCTGCTTAAAGCGATAAGATGTCAATAGAAAAGAAAAGAGAACAGATTCTAAAAAGTGATCAAGATTTTTTCCATTTAAGATTGGGGTTATTGGTCATTCACTAGCTACTCGTGATCACAATTGGTTCAAAAAAATCTCTTATGTCATTGGTAAATGTGATGAAAAGATCTCTGAACAATCCGATCTGTGAGGGTTGCAAACGAATGTGTCCCACCTAGGAACCTGTTCCTATCGTCTCCCAAGTGCGCCTCTGTACTGTCAACAGACAAGGTCCGACTATCATTCGCCCACAACGCGACACACGATACACATACATTTTTAATCACCGCCAATACCCGAGTTGTCTTGGTCGATCAATCCCATSMTGTTAAAAATTCTTGGCTCTCTCTCGACGTTATGCATTCTTTTACGTTGCGACTTAGCCTGCGTGTCAGACTGTCCAACCGCGGATAGGGCTGCGACTTCCAGTCTTGCATTTACGCCTTGATCTGTGTCTGTGGGGGTGAATGTGGTTGGAGAGAAGGTAGTCGGAGACGAAGTTGGCGGAGACAACGTTGGCGTTGGAATGGTCGGGCTGCCCGTTGGCCCACTATTCGATTGACTGCTCGATTCGCTAGTTGTTTCAGAATTTTGAGTAGTGGGGGAAATCGTGGGCTTCTTCGTGGGTGCCATGGTTGGTTGCACCGGTGACTTGGTCGGGTTGTTAGTGGGAGATGGAATTGGAGATGGAGTGGGTTTGTTGCTGTCATTTTTTGATTTCTTTTCCTTCTTGTCTTTCTTGCTCTTCTTCGATCCTAAAAGCTGTTTTGACTTCTTATTACTCTTTTCGGACTTCGTGCGGAGGAAGCTGCGGACAAAAGTTCGGGGAGAGGCGGGGGKGTTCTGAGAGGACTCGGCTTCCATGATCTCTAGACCGACGTTCTCCATGGCGTGGGCAAGTCCCACCATGGAAGTCGACAAGCAGAGGCCGACCAACAATATTCGTTTCTTCATTACAGACATAGCGGTTCTTGATCGACTCGGAAGTCTTTGGTTCGAGCAAAAAGATCTTTGGGGAAGAAAGAGGTTTT